TTTAAAATATTGTAAATAATTGCAAAGTCATGCCCATTAATTCGTAGCCATAAAACAAATTAAATAAAATATTGATTGACTTGTAGCAATCAATTTGGATTAATGACAAGCTAGCGGCGCATATAGTAACAAAAAAAAAAAGCGGCGCGAAAAAGNTTTCAGTTAAAAAAAATTACGATGAAATAATGCTGAATTAACCACCTCCGTCCTTGGTGCACTGCGAACTGTTTTTATATTTAAAATATTGTAAATAATTGCAAAGTCATGCCCATTAATTCGTAGCCGTAAAACAAATTAAATAAAATATTGATTGACTTGTAGCAATCAATTTGGATTAATGACAAGCTCGCGGCGCATATAGTAACAAAAAAAGAAAAGCGGCGCGGAAAAATTGCGAAAAATTAAGGCAAGCTCACCTTCAATTTCTGTAGCGTTTTAATTATTTATGATGTAAAATAAAAGTTACGTTCGAGCGCTTTTGTAAGCGATTATTTTAGCACAGACATATTTGTGTGTATGTCAACGAATGCAGCATGGCTTTCAGGCGTAAAACTCATTATGCTGTCACAATAAAAAAAACAACATTTTGCAGAAAAGGAAATGTAAAATAAATATTTAAACGCAGAGCAAAAAAGCAAAAAAAAAACATGCGTAACTACATAAACAGATACATATCCAACGTAAGATATAAAATTTCCTGCTTCATTATATGTAAATAAATTAACGTTTAAAACACACCTTATAAGTACATTAGGGTTGCCCAAAAATGCATGTGAAAAAGTAAAGTCGCAACTTAAATGCTCTTACCCCATAGGATTGTTCTATATCGCAAAAAGCTTTACCCATGATTTTTTATTTTGAAATAAAAAAGTATCTAGAGGTCGCTCAAAGCGCGCAAAGTTTTCCATGTATTCTATATTGGAAAATAACAAGTTTTCGTAGGAATGGTATAGAATTCTTGAATATCAATATTTTTCTATCGGAAGACCTTGTTTCTTTTCAGGAGGCTTCCAGTATCAGTACCGAATTGTTCATTTAACCATTTTCTAATGCTAACTTTTTTTATAGGACCTCTAAAAACTTCAAAAAATGCAATGAGGGGTATACTTTATTTCGGTATGAGAGAATTAAAATTCCGACTTTACCATTTTTTGCACCACCCTATGTACTTACTTATACATTTATACTTAATATTATTTGCCTGCGTAAGTACATACGTACGCATGTATCTGTGTGCACAGTGTTTATTTTAAAATTCTGCTCGTGTCAGCGCCTCTAAGCAAAATATAGTCGAAAAAAAATATGTCGACACTTAATTATGTAAATTTAATTTGTTTGCCTTTTTCCCACATACACACTTCAAACATACGTGCGCACATAGACTATTTAGTATTACATACATATCTGCTCATAAATTTACAATCACACTCGAGCTGGCGTTTATCAAAGCACTTTGCACTCTGCTGATTTTTGAAAGTGTTTGCTTTTGTAATTTAGTTGTGTCACTTGCGCTCAAAAGCACACAAACAATAGCTAAATACAAACATACCCTGCAGAAAAAAATTATCAATTGATAAAAAATAATCCTCTTGTAGTAAGGGATTTCTATAAAATATATTGAAACTAGTTGACAAGTAATGCAGGAGTAATGAAGGAGATTGTTTTCTTTAAACGCGTTTCTATTTAAATATCCTGCACTTCGCAAATACTTTTTNGACAGTCACCGCTTAATCGATTTCTCTTTTCATTCTGATCATTTATGTATACATTTGTCTATATCTATCTCGATTCGTTTTGCCTGTTACAAACAACCGTTATGTGAACAAAGTTATAATACCCTTGTGCACAAGTGCGCTCGGGTATAATAAAAAATATTTTGTTTTTCCTATTGATATTTTATGTCCAAAAGTAGTTAGTTACAAGCCCATATATTTAAGCATATGAACTAAACTTAACTTTTTTAAATTAAGTAACTCTAGAGTCGAAGGCTCAAGTAGTCAGTACTCAATAATTTTTAATTAGTTATAATATTTTTTCACTGTATTATAATTAATTTTATAAATAAATAAATAAGTGACTTTTGGCTCCTTCCTAATCAACTTAAAGTTAGCTTATAGTTAGTTACATTTCCTGCAGGGTACTTACTATGTAAGCGAGAATGTGTATGTGTGTGACTTGTGGGAGTGTGTAGGTTACGTATTTGTTTGCTCATACGAGTATCAGTTAACAAAGCCTAAAGTGTCGCGCTCAAAGTGCTTAGTGGCACATAAAAAGTATAATTAAAGTTGTAGTGGAAAACACACAAGCACTCATAGCAGCAGGCACGCACCTATATGCATCCTTTGGAAGTATATCTATTTGTATGTATGTCACGAAAAAGGGTTTTGAATTTAATTTTATATAAAAATCTAGTGAACTCGATGAAAAAAGCTGAGGAGTAGATGTGGTGATCACACAATTTTTTCATTAGAAACGGCCTCACGCTCAATAAAATTGTTGTATTTATTTCAAATGTATAAAAAAATTTAAAAGAAAATACCCCTATGACCTACTGTAGCTCAAATCCGGTTTTTTGAAATCCAAGGGGCGTCTTGTAGACTGCCTGTTAAAGATAACCGCATTAAAAAAAAAAACATTGTCGTTCACATGCTTATAATAGGCAATCGATAAAAAGTCGATAAAGCAGACCGGCCGGCAATTTTTTGCAGCCACTCGAGAAAACGGTCCTAAATCATATAAAACGATCGAGTAATTAGGGAGTATATCGCTAACATAGAAATTTTATTTTCAGTTTATACAAAAATATAGACAAAAGCGGTCAAAAAGGCGAAAAAAGTTGATATTGGTTTTACAGAAATATTAAGTTTCAATAGTAAATATTTAAGTTCAATACATGGAACACGCCTTTTGAATAACAATTCACAAAAAAGGCATCGAAAAGTAAAAAATCTCAAAACATTTTAGCAACGCTATGTCAGTTAAAGAGAATTACATCTTTAAAATTCAAGCGAAAATATTTTTTCCACGAATAAATGGCTTTATTACTTGGGAAGAATTGTCTTAAATTGCATAAAAAACAGCAAGTAATAACCTTCTTACGTTACTTAAATTTGTTGTGCTACATATTTTACTCCACTTTTTATGTTCTGGCTTTTAATGGCGAATAAATTACGTTGACTGCTGGCATCTCGTTAATACAGCTAAAGTAATGTTTATGATATCTAAAACGGCGCACTAAAGCAATAAACTTTAAGGCTATAAACGCTGCGAAAAGAGGTCGTTGAAATCGTTTTTATTGTTGTAATGGACTTTTTTATTTCGGCAGACAATGGCAACCCTACGAGTGCGTTTCTGCTATAAAATTTCTTTTCGGTGGTGGAGTAAAAGGGTAGATCTCTCCATTTGTCTCACCACATCAACACACAGAACACGAGTTGGAGGTGAAGCTGGGCCAAACCCGTCGAAAAAGTTTAAGCGCCAAATGTTCATTTATTGGAATCAAATACAAGATACTATTTATCCCAAAATAACGTAGGATATAATTTTAAAAGTATTTAGAGGTTTCCCTTAAACTGGAAAAATTCTTGTAAACGTCAAGAAAATCGAAACTGAGAGGTCAATCGAGATTACTATGAAATGAAAAAATCGGATTTTTTTTCGATAAAAAAATCTGGTTAATTCGATGTTCGACAAAGATTTCAAACAACCCTTTATAGATATCAAAAAAAAAAAAAACGGGGGAAACCGGTTTGCAAAAACCGAGTAAATTACCCTAATACTTCTGTACATTAGGCTGCATACAAAAAAAAAAAATCCATTGGAATTATAAAATCTATTATATTTTAAGACGTCCACCAAAATATTTCGGAAAAATATTAAGATTTCCGTAAGCTGGGCCGACTTGAATATACCTCCAAAAATGGAGTTTTTTAAGAATAAAAATAGTCTCTTAAAGATTTTTTTTTTTAAATCCCCTCAAATGACAAAACGGTATAAACTTAAAAAATTTGCATAAAAATGTAAAAAAAACTAAAAAAACCGCAACTGTTTCTTTTTGCCTTATCCATTGTGTTTGTGTCTCTGAATTAGCTGCCGACAATATACATAATAATGTGCGTATGTGTGCTTAGCTGAATGTGTGTGTATTTTTTATATATTTTTGTATTTTTCTCATATTTTTGCTATCTCTCTTTTTCAAACACTCAAGCGCTGGTACATTAGGCTGCACTGCTAATGGCAATAACCGATGCCGAAGCGCAGTGGGGGTGTGGGATTTGAAAGTTTCAAGGTCGTGCAGCATCGCCTATAAAATGAAGTTCCCATAACTATAAAAAATAATGCGCGTAAATACTATAAAGATTCGTACACAACATAAACAGTCAGCGTCAAAAATATGCATACCCTGTATTTTCTATATCAAATATATGTAGTTCATTTAACAGCAAAAACCACAAGAATAAAGTTTTTTAATCTCATACAGAACTCGGTAAACTGCAAAACCAAGTATGACTAAAATTTCGTTTCATTTTACGCTGACTGTATTTGCATATATGTATGAGTGCGGGCCATAAAAGTACTTTAACCGCGCTGTCGTTTGAATGTTGCTGAAAGTGAAACTGCTGCGGCAAGCAAAACACTTAACGTCCCCTTAGTAAGCTTACGGTAATGTACAAGTACACTATTCCTCTTGGCTTTAGAGTCTTCGCAAAGGGGTTACTTGCTGCGCTCTGCGTTTCTCGTCTTGTTTATGTTCATTTTTATTGCATTGCACATAAATCGTTTTGGGTCTTATCGCTTATCCACATGCAAACACATTCAAATAAATCGACAGTTGAAATGACTCTGAACGCCATTAACTACCATAGGCACACATATACTACATATCCACTCATGCTCCAAACGATAGTAGTATTACGGCTTGTAAATAAAAGTCAACACTTTGTTCGAGTAAAAAACAAAAAAGCGTAAGGCCGACGATAAGCAATCGCCTTTGCGCGAAAATGTTGCAAATCGCAGCTGCTTTGCAATTGGAACTGCGCTTGTGGGTGTATTTGTTCAGCGGAAGGATAAATGCATTTATCTCCGGTATCGCCAGCGGTATTAGTAACCTAAGGCTAAGCGCAAGTGAGTGCTGGATTAGAAGACGGCAAAAAGTGATTAGGAAGCTTTAAGATTTATAGCGCGCTGTGGTTTAGATTTAGGCATAGACTTAGCTTAGGAAGGGTAAAGGCGGAAGAGGAGCAGAAGTAACATATAAAGGAAGGAAAATCCAGATCATTGAATTGAACCAAGTTAATCACAGAGCCCTGCGAAATTTAAATTAACTCAGTATTGCTAAAAGGGCAGTTAAGAGATTATTACTCATACGCCATGGTGCACAATACTCTTTCGAAGGTGTGAGGAACCAAAAAATAGGTTTATTATTCGAAATGCGTGGCAAAGTATATTAATGTGCATTATTGTTTTGGTTTAAATCGTACATATGGACATTTTTCTATTAACTTTATAAAATACTTAAATTGTATTTTCTCACGCAAACGCCCATACGCTGCATATTTTGTATCAGCTTTTGCAGTGCTGACTTCAATGTAGTTGAAATAAATATTCCTTCGAATTAGGGGAAAAAATCTTTCCGCCAACGCTTTTTTATCACAGTTTTTTAATTTTTTATTTTTTTCCTTATTCCTTTCAGCGGACAGCTCATTTCTACTTGCCAACGCACAGATTGTGGATTTTCCGATTGTCTATTGCAATGAGTCCTTTTGCAAAATTAGTGGCTACAATCGCGCGGAAGTCATGCAAAAGTCGTGCAGGTGAGTACAAGTGTAGAGAATATCTTTGTTTGAAATGCATTGGTGCCAGAAATTTCATATGTTGCCTTCTTGTGGGTAGATTTTCATAGCAATTGCTAGGGACCTGAACCACTAAAAACTAGTATTTTGTTTTTGTTAGGCGCTCTAGATGTTATTTAAAGTGACAAAAATAGGGCCCTCCATCTATGATCTGAAGAAAAAAAAAACGAAAGTGAAAAAAGGGTTGCCTTAAATGCGATTTTGAAGCATAAAAAGCGACGTCCTTAGTTTGATCCAAAATAGCAGAAAATTCTAAACAGATCATCCTAGAGGAAATAAAATCCACTGACCTAATTAGTTTATGTCTTACCCGGAATGGATTTCGTCTTCAGTCGTCTGATCTTTAATGATCCCATTCTAGGTTGCGGTTTTTGCCTTTAAATAAACATTGCAATTTCGTGCAATGTTTCTGCAGCTTTAGTGTGGTGCATACTTTTAGGCTCCATATTGGTTTACTCACTAAACGTGGAATGTTGCAATGAGTAAATGATCTTAACGATCCGGAATAGTCAGATTTTGTTAATAGAATATCGGATGGTAATGAAAAATATGCTTCTTGAATTCTGCCTGAGTACAAACCTCTGTATTGACCACTTTTGTTTTTTTTTTTTCGGAAAATTCCTTAATTATAAACGAAATAAGTTACTCGTAAAAACAAATATTTTTAAAGCAAGCTTTCTAAACAAGAACGAAATCGGACCATAAATAGTGGTTTGCCAAATACTTATATCAACTTGTGCGCCACCTATCGGCACAATTTTTAATGAAGTTATTCCCTTTCATGTACTTAATATACGTTCCGAACCAAATCGGAATATAAATACGGATCTTTCGAGTATGCAGTTTTGTAGCCGTCCACAAAAAAAAAATTCAAAAATCAACGCGATTTTGTAGCCGGTTGAAACTTCAATGCGCTAAAAAACTGCATACCCTAAAATTTTTTATAAATTCTGACTAAAAAGTTGAAAATTTTGATGAAAATTTTAAAATTTTTGTGAACTTTGTATAAAGTGTGAAACTTTGATTTGTATGGTTCATATTATAGAATTAACTATATTTTCAGAAAAAAAAAAATAATTCAAACCATTTTTCATGAATATAATTGTGAATATTATATTAGAACAAGGGTACACATGCATGCATACAGAGCAAGTTAAATAAGAACTTGTGAAAATACCGGAATTTCCCAAAAAATCCCGGCAGTTAAATAATAAAATGCGATAGGTAAAAAAAAAATCTAAAAAAAATTAATGGACCTACATACAAAAAAAATCCCGAAATCTCGAAAAGTCCTGAGTAAGATGCGAAAACTCTAAAACATCCCTCAGAAAGAAAAGCTGGAAAATCCGCAAATCAAATATCTGAAAAAAAATCTCAGAATATTCCGCAAATCTCAAAAAGAGCCGAAAAATTTGCGAAAACCCGCAAAGAAAATACGAATCTATTAATTTTTTAATAAATCCAAAAATATCAGTTTTTCTTGCCAAACAAAAATACATGATAATCAAAAAGTACAAGAAAAAAATTCCTAGAGACCAAAACAGTTGCGAAAAATATGTCGAAGCTTCGGAAAAAATCACAGAAGAAAGTCTCGAAAAAAATTTGTTATTTTCTTATTTGGCTATGCCTTCCATCGATTTTAACAGTAAAATTTTTTGAAGATCCGAATTTATCTTCGAAAAGATGCTAACTCAATTTCCTTACTACATACATACATATTTAAGTCTCTTAAATTTCAAACAAAAGCAACAGAACAATTTTTATCTACATTCACCGATAAAAAGTTTAAACATCGACCCCGCCCCCTTCCAATCACGTAAAACAGCAATTTGAATAATAATTTCCAACCAAGTGCGCAAGACGCAACAGCATTAAAGTCGAATCTTCCCTATAGACTCCTCATCGGCGGTCTCAACAACAATTGAGCAGTGAAAAATTACCACCATTAGCTTGCGTTCCAACAAACAAATTGCTGCAGTGCTTTGGCTGCTTATCTTATTTATTTTATTTATACGACCTTCGCTTGCGCCCTTCCCTCGTTCGTCATTTTCAATCCAGCTTGTCCCCGACTATGTACAATACAAATCCCGTTCATTAGCTACAACAGCTGAGCTACGCAGTGGACTCCTCCCTAGCTGCAAGTGTGCCAAACACTGCCGTTGTGAGTTGGAAAATAACTAAATCGAAATAAAGTGAAATTTATGCAAAGCGCTTTTTGCTAAACAAATGCGAGGAGCTGAGGGAAGTATGTCGGTCTGTCGTTGGCAGCTGCAAAAGCAAGAAGCAAGTGAGTGGCTGGACGCATGAAATGCGATGCAAGCAAAAGTGTAAGCGGAAAAATTTATTTTTTACACAGTTGTTTTTGTTGCTACACACCAGCCACAGGGAAAAAGTTTCCAAATGAAAATGAAGAAATCATGCGAACACAAGTGCTATTCGCTGATGGCCAATATATTATACCCTTGCTTTTAAATTGAATGCAGCTTAGCTGTCTGTTGGCCTCTGACCCAGTTACAGTTCGATTTATAAAGCAGCAGATTGCCTTTTTCATTAGACAGCGATACGTCTGCCACTTTTTGCCTTTGGCCGCCTACCTACATTTTTCCTGCGCTTGGTCTCACCTTCATATCCTGGTCGAAGTTCCGCCGTAGACGTCATATTGCCTTGGAAGTCTGCTCCATATTTTCCCTTTTTGCTTTCAATCGCTGTGTGCTATATTTCCATTGGCATTATTTGCAATTCACTGTGCTAAATAAACACTGGTATTTGACTGTCCAGTTCACTTGATGAGAATTGTTTTCCGAAAAGCATAAAAGCTTTTTGTGAAACCACCAGTTGAGGTAAGTAAAAAGTAAATGGCGACTTAATTACTGAATTCTAAACGAAAAAAAAAAAATCGCGAGTGCTAAAATTAAAAGAATGTTCAGCACATTAGAGCTAATGTGAACCGATACAGAGAGTAAAATTGGTACAGCAAATATCGTGACTAACCCTAAGAGCTTTTAATATAATATCTACAATAAAAAGAGGACTTTCTCGCACTCACTTTGATTAACAAGAACGTCATTTCTGCAGAAGAGTTCTAAAGAGAAGTCAGATGTTTGACAAAAGCGTCGAAAATGTGCAACTTACAGGGCAATTATGGCAACTATCTTGAAAGCTATTTACTTTGTCTTTCGAAAGACTAATCGAAAGATCTGCTAACGAGGAGGTCTTAGGGACGGTTGCCCAATGTCTGGTTATGACTACGTCCCAGTTAAACATCATTATCGACATTTTCGACGTCATGCATATAACATGTGATCGATAAAGCAGTCCTTATATTTAACCAGAGCTTCTACCTCCGATCAGTGCTAATCAGACATTGCACAACCGGCCCTTAACGTTATGCTGTTGACCTTTTCACATTATTTTTTTTAAAAGGTAAATTCAATAAAAAAATATATTTTTTTTTGCTTTTTAAAAAATAAGAGTTAATAAATAATAGAAAATTAAACTAAAAATTAAAAAGGAAATAGTACATAAGATTATAAATATTTTTATAAAAAAAAAAGAAAAAAAATTAAAAAAAACTAAATTAAAAAAAATAAAATCTAAAAATTAAAAAAAAATGTAATTAACAAAATTCAACAAATTAAAATTAAAAAAGAGAAAATAAATAAAAGAACTTTCTAAATAGTAAATGAAGTTTAAAAAAATACTTTTTTACAGAAATAAAATCTGAAAAATTAAAAGAAAATTTAACTTAAAAACTCAAAATAAAAATAAAAATTAAAATAAATTTTTAAAAATAAAATTAAATTTAAAAATATAACCAAACTATTAAAGAATACTGGTTAAGATAGTAAAAGATCTTTCGTAAAACAAATGATGGACAGCTGGTAAGATATTTCGAAAGACTTTTGTTATTCTAGAAAAAAGCTTTTTCGCTCGCCATGGTGAAAAGCTTTTTTTAAGGGGAAAGTACTTGTATATCCTTTAGCTCCGGTGAATGAAAGAGTCACAGTGGGCAAGGCAAAGACGTGCCAATCGAGAAATTCGAGTTAGTTTCTTTTATTCTAAATTTTTTTATTTAATTTTTCTGATTTTTCATTTTTAAGTTTGATGTAATTTTTAGAAACTTATTTTTTGTATTTTGTTCTTTTTTCATTTAATTTATTTTTTTTATTAAAAATTGCCTTGTTATGCTGAGTTAGCTCTTGTATGCACTTCTCAAAACGCTTATGAAATATTTTGCTTAAGTCCAAAACCAAGTTCCCGACGAGCTAAAGACTTTAAACTTTAGACTAAGCTCAGCACCCGATGAAAATGCGCTATGAAAGATAAATTAATAGACTAGGTGGCGCAGATGTCGACATATTTAGAAAAGCCATAGTTATTGGCCCAGTATGGTTCATATTTAAAACGTATGTATATTACTAAAATGAAAAAGAATAAGGCCACAAAAATGTTGCCCGATAGATGGCGCTAGAGTCGAGATATTTGGGAAAACCCATATTTATGGTCCGATTTGTTTCATATTCAGAATGTATAAATATTACTTAAATGGAAAGAAATAACTCTACACAAAATAAAGCCGTTAAGGTGTTTGAGTTTTATTTTTTTTACTAACCACTAATGAAAGCTTGTCTTTAATTTTTTTTAATTACTTGTTTTCCAATTATTTTAATTTGTTAATTTATGAGCTTGAGCAACAGCTGAAAATACGCTAAAAACATTCTTGTGGTCTGACCTTTTCCCTTAATTTTTTTCTGTGTATTTCAAGCACTCTACCTTCTATTATTCCCACCCTTAGCGACGAAAAATGTTTGGTAACTTCTGCTCCGTGGCTATATTTCCTGGCCAAATGCCGTTTTAAGCGCCTAAATGAGAACTGAGTAAGCGAAATGAATGTTAATAAAAGCGAGTGAAAACAAAAAGAATTCTAAATAGAAGAAGGTATAAACGCAAGCAGCTGCTGG